ACCATTCGAGAGATAAGTATGTGGGTGAGAGAGACATCGCAATTCAACCCAACACTTCAACTCAGCTTATGTTCACACACAAACTGTGAACTATGTCAAAAAAATTCAAACCACCCCGCTCCATGAATCCTCAATGTCACGAGACAAGTTAATGCTAATCGGAGGAAAAGCCCACAACAGGAGGGAGAAAGGAGAGATTGATTGCCTCATTTGAATTTAAGACATAAATTGGCGGAGCCAAGGAGATCGATTCTCTTGCCTCAGTTGAGTTGTGCGTTTGGACTAGAGAAGATGGAAAAGAAGACAAAAAGGTTTCGTTGATTTAGGGCTAAAATTGTCCCAAAAGTAAGTTTTTTTTCATATAACTTAATATTTGAACCATCGGATTTACTAGTTTTTTCTAAAATCGGCCAATTTTACAATTTTTTGGCTATTTATTTGCTCAAGTCTTTTTATAAAATCGGACCGATCTAAGGCCAAGTTCATCGGTTCGATCGACTGGTCCAGTCTAATTATGATAACATTGGTTAAATCTATTTGTACTACTTTAAAATATTAATATATCTGAAAAAAAATATATTTTATTTTTACCATCTAAAAAACAAGTATGTCATTCTTATCCTNTTCATATAACTTAATATTTGAACCATCGGATTTACTAGTTTTTCCTAAAATCGGCCAATTTTACAATTTTTTGGCTATTTATTTGCTCAAGTCTTTTTATCAAATCGGACCGATCTAAGGCCAAGTTCATCGGTTCGATCGACTGGTCCAGTCTAATTATGATAACATTGGTTAAATCTATTTATACTACTTTAAAATATTAATATATCTGAAAAAAAAATATATTTTATTTTTACCATCTAAAAAACAAGTATGTCATTCTTATCCTTCAAAATTAATGTCACACTAAACCTAAATCATCACCTCTTCTCAACACCTTCCCACTTTTTTTTTGCCATTACAACACTTCTCTCTCTCTTTCTCATGCGTGTTGACCGCGTATTCACCATTCGGTGAAGAACAACTATTCACACTTTCTCTTTTTGTAGAAAAACAGAACAGAATTTGGTGAATTTGGTGAATGAAGAGTTAGCCAATGAAAATTAAAAAATTTTCTTTGATATGAAAACAGTAGGGTTGAGATTTTTCCTCAATNGGACAAAATTTGGTGAATTTGATGAATGAAGAGTTAGCCAATAAAAATTAAAAAATTTTCTTTGATATGAAAACAGTAGGGTTGAGATTTTTCCTCAATGAGTTTTCTCACAAATTGAGTATTTTCTTGATGTGTTATCTCTGTATACAGAGAACATTATTTATAAGGGAAGATTTAGCTAGCCGTTTAACTAGCCATTACTACTTAACAAAATATTCTTAATTCTCCAATATTTTTCAACTCTACTAATATTTCCTCAACCTTCTACAGTCANAGGGAAGATTTAGCTAGCCGTTTAACTAGCCATTACTACTTAACAAAATATCCTTAATTCTCCAATATTTTTCAACTCTACTAATATTTCCTCAACCTTCTACAGTCAAAGTAAGCTAATTATACTCCAAGTGGGATTGACTAGTCTTTCCTTACTTGATGAGTCCCTCTAGCCAAGTCACATATACCGACTAGAAAAAATCCAACCCAAACATCCAATTATATCAATGCAATATATGTATGCATGCATCATTATAAAATAATTAATTAATATATAATAATTTGACAAAAAATACATCTATGATATATGTCATGAATTATGCAATATTTAACCGACGGATTGAGGTTTTATATATTTCGAATTTGACTACCAACCGTGAATTAATTAATACTGAGGGATTTAGCCACATATTCCAACATCTTNTCATGCAATATTTAACCGACGGATTGAGATTTTATATATTCCGAATTTGACTACCAACCGTGAATTAATTAATACTGAGGGATTTAGCCACATATTCCAACATCTCCCACTTGGCTACATGCCCGAAATATTCTTTCATAATTTAAACCCATAGCAACGAAATGTCGTTTAAATATTCATTCATAACTTAAACCCAAAGTAATGACATGTCGTTTAAATTCTTCGGTTTCAATAGATTTTGTCAATGAGTCTGCAACCATATCTTTTGTCGTTTAAATTTATCGATTTCAATAGGTTTTGTCAATGAGTCTGCAATCATATCTTTTGTACAAAGATAGTCAATAGTAACATGTTCCTTCTGTATTATATCACTTATATAGTGATATTGTAACTCAATGTGCTTACCTTTAGGACCGATTTTCCCATTTTTAATGATTTTTATCACAGCCTCATTATCACAAAAAATATGAATAAACATATTATTTACAACAGTAAGCTTTAAATCAGTTAAAAACCATTTTAACCATACGGCTTCGGAGACAGCCATACTACAAGTAATGAATTCAGCTTTCATAGTACTTTTAGCTATGCAACATTACTTTTTACTAAACCATGAAATATCACCACCATTAAAAACAAATATATAACCCGTGGTGGATTTTCTATCATCAATATCACCAGAAAAATCAGCATCACAATAATCATTAATATTTATATCATCAGCTTGATATGTTAAAGAAAAATTTAATGTACCTTGTATGTATCTAAGTACACGTTTTACAGCTAACCAATGAGATATACCAGGATTACTTTGATATCAATTAATCAAACCAACAACATAGCTAAGATTCGATCTAGTGCATAACATAGCATATATAAGACTACCAACAACTTCCGCACAGGGTTTAGATTTCATTTCTTGTATTTTCTCTTCAGTTTTTGGAGCCATATTCTTAGACAATTTTGCTCCTTTTATAAATGACCCAATAGGTTTACAAGAATCCATTTTAAAATTTTTTAAAATATTTTCTAAATAAGATTTTTAAGATAAGCTCAATTTTCTTTACTTTCTATCTCTAGAAATTTTAATTACAAGTATATAATGTGCTTCACCCATATCTTTTATTTCTAACTTGATGTTTAACCAATCTTTTAGTTCTAAGATTCTAGTTATATCATTCCCAGCAAGTAAAATGTCATCCACATGCAAGGAAAGAAAAATATAATAACTCCCACTATTCCAAGTATATATACAATGATCATAGTTATTTGGAATAAAATCATATGATATAATTGCATTATGAAAAAAATGATACCATTGCCTTGATGATTGTTTTAAACTGTAAAAAGATTTTTTCAATTTGTACACCTTATCTTCTTTACCTTCAACTTCATATCCTTGCGGTTGATAAATATAAATTTTTTCTTTAAGTTCACCATTAAGGAAAATAGTCTTAACATCCATTTGATGTAACTCTAGGTCTAAATATGCAACCAAAGACATTAATATTCTTATTGAGGTAAACTTAGCTATGAGAGAGTATGTTTCATCATAATCTATACCTTTCGTTTGTTTGTATCTCTTAGCCACTAGTATAGCTTTATAATTATCTATAGATCCATCCGATTTAAATTTCTTTTTAAAGATCCATTGACACCCAATTGCTTTTCTATCTATTGGTAAATCAACTAACTCCCAAACTTTATTTTTCTCTATAGATTCTATTTCTTCTTTAATTGTTTCTCTCCATTTTAGATGATCAATTGAATTCATAGCATCATTAAAATCAATAGGATCATTTGAAATCTCTTCACTATTGAATGCATAGTAATATTTTAAGTAGCTAAGTGGATGTCTTTCCCTTTTTATTCTAGTTAAAGTATCCTTGGGTGGGTGGAGACTCTTTTATTATTTGCTCTTGTGGTTGTTTATTTTCATTTTTTTTTAGTAATTTCAAATAGTTCAACCATTTTCTCAATTTTATCTAAGTCATATTCAAAGAAAAACACATCTCTACTTTCAATGACTCCCACTGATCCATTACTATGGTGAATTACAAATCTATAGCCAATAGAATTTTCACAATATCCAATAAAAGTACATTTTATGGATTTAGGATCTAATTTCCCTCTATTAGGTCCTAAAATTTTAACATGACCTAAACTACCCCAAACTTTTAAGTGAGAAAGACTTGGTTTTGTACTCCTCCAAATTTCATATGGTGTCATTCCTATTG